ACACTTTCCCCTCAATTCTGTACCTGATGCCAATTCCCACATCTCCTTCCCTAATATCCCCATCACATTGCGCGTAAATCGATCGGCCGACTAGTTGGCGAGCTCTAAACGACATTTACGGCCGTAGTACGCTCGATGTTCCGCCGAGCATCGCGCGAATTTTCGGGATCGCCGGCGATTTTTTGGAGTCGGCCGAAGCTCGCTGACACGCGAAACGTGTTCTTAACATCAGCGACTAGTCGCCGGCGATTTTTGAGGTCGCAGAGCTCGTTTCCAGCTCGCGCGTAGCTCGCCCCTGTGCGGCCGAGAGTCGACCGATATTCGGACGTACATCCCACGAGTCTCGGCCGTATTTCGTCTTTGAAAATCGGGCGACGGTCGCTGAATACGGTCGACCCTCGCGCGAGCTTCGCGAAATGTTCGGACGACCCTCTTTCGTTCCTCGCCCGACTTGCGCAACGTTTTTAAACTCGTGCGTGCTTCGAGCGAGCTTCGTGCCAGTGTCGGACGAAGGTTCTACGAGCCTCGGCCGAGCTCCTCTGAAGTTATTATTTATTCAGCACCTGTGACATTTATTTGAGATTGCATTGACAGTATACTGTGTAAAGTTTGCAGGAGCAACGTCCCACTGCTTGTTAACGTTATATTTACGAGAAAGGATAAAAATAGACAAAATCGTCCTTTTTGTCCTTTTATTAAATCAACATTCGTTAATAAACAAAATCACTTTAAAAAGATGATGAGGTTTTAACTATATAAGGCCAAATGCCTAGATTTTGACCTCAGCTTATTGAACGCACATGAAATTCTTTACTCTTGTCCCTTTAGGAGATGTGTGGCGGCTGTATAATAAATTGACGTTTACACTTGTTCATTCTGGAATGAGGTTGACTTTTTTCTTAGGGTGCCCACAAGAACGTCATGTGATAGATATTACTTACTAGTTGAAGTTTATATTGCATGGGTCTTTTTACCTCTTGTCTACTTTGCTGACATTGAATGGCTTGTTTACCGGACGATTCATACTAT